AATTATTTGATTTACACTTACATCACGATAGAACAAGTCTTCAGCTTCAAGCATGTGTATAATATGACCCATTTTAGGTCTTTTATTCGCCTCTGGATCAACACAACGCAACGCGACAAGCAACACACGTTTAAGAGCCTTTGAAGAAGGCGGTTCGGGTATTTTAGGATCGATTACTTCCTCTGACCTCCGGTTTCCAACCATAGATTTCAGCCACTCAACCAAGTTCACCTATAAAAACGAAACAAACAAGAACCGATAAAAGAAGAATGAACTCCGTAGTTTTGAAACCTTAAACGATAGACTAAATGCGGGTTTGTATTCCTTTACCTCTCCTTGAGGTCGACTATAATCGACCGGGTTTCTTCCAGTGATTATCTCCATTATTAATATCCCGAAACTATAGATATCACTCTTTTCGTTCAACATTCCTGTGCAAGCATATTCGGGTGCGACATAACTACAAAACAAACCAATCAACAGAAGTTTAATGTTTTTCAAGAATTTGAAATCCTAATGATGATCTAACTATGCATATGCAAACTAAACGACTTACCCAAAAGTTCCCATTACACGGGTTGTCACGTAACTACTCTCGGAGAACAACAGCTTAGCAAGTCCAAAATCTGATACCTTAGCATTCCATTGACGATCAAGCAAGATATTACTGGATTTTATGTCCCGGTGAACAACTTTCGGTTCAAGTCCTTCGTGTAGATATGCCAATCTGCGGGAAAATCAACAAAAAAATTACATAAAGAAAAAAGATGAATTCACAAATGAAAGTTATCGATTAGGATCTCCCGAGTGTACCCTTTTGCCATGCCAAGTATTATGTTCATACGGATATCCCAAGTTAAAGGACTTTTATCGCCGACATCACCATGAATCCATTGCTCTAAGTTGCCATTATCGACATAGTCATACACTAGCATCCTAATTTCACAGAAGGAAAATCCAAAAACATTAGTAGTTTTCACAACACATACCGAGCTAGCCAAAGTCCATCTCAAGCAGGTTTCTTTTTTTTACCTGTATGCACCTTCGACACAATACCCTAAAAGCCTAACGAGATTCTTATGCCGTACACGCCCGATCGCTTCCACTTCCACTCTAAACTCCTTCTCTGCTTGACCTCTACATCATAATCAAAGACTAACAATGATCAGTAAAAGAAGCTATCCATCAAATCCCAATGGACCCATTAAATGACACAACAAACAACTTCTGCTTTCATGTCTCAGGACCACATTCTTCCCTAAACCAGCAAAATCCAGACCCTATCCATTTATATGCATCCAAGGACTAATAACACTAAATCGAAAGGCCTCATCTTTAACACTACACATACATAAAGGATCAATTTTGACAAATTGGAATATGTAAAAATCAAAACTTTTTCAAGTAAACCTGTTATTAAGCAGATTCTTGACAGCGACTTTAGTACCATCAGTTAAAATCCCACGATAAACAATCCCATAACCTCCTTCTCCGATCACATTCTCTTCACATAATCCATTAGTAGCAGCTTCAAGCTCTCTAAGAGTATACCATCTTCCCCAACCAAGATGAGAAACCTCAGGTCCAACACAACCACTACCTGAAAACGACGCCGTTTCACTAGCACTCACTGTTCCTCTGCTTTCACCACTCGAGACTCGATCCGAGAACACAACACGGTGCTCGGTCTTCCCGATATCGACTTGGATCTCCGCCGCAACAGGCTGACTCGGATGGTAATGGTCTTGCGACTGAGCGATCTCTTGAATCTCTTTTGAAATCGGCGGCGTCGCTACGGCGGCTGATGCGAAATCGGCGTGACGAGGTTTTCGGTTTCTCCGGCGAGAGGTTAGACATAGAGAGAGAAAGAAGAGAGCTATGACTATAAGAGATCCTAGTAAAATTCCGATTACGACCCAAAGTTTCAGACCAAAGATCGATGTTGGTTTCGATAGCTCTGTATTGATGAAATCAGTATTGAAAACAGACATGATGGTCGTAGATTTGATTAACCAAAGAACGAATCTTTCGCATTTCTCGCCGGAAAATGAAAAAAGGAATAATATTTTTTCCGGCGAATCAATGGTTAGTTAATCACCGTTGCATGTGGCTTTTGGCAAAATGACGAAAACCGAAGAATCGAAAACAGAACAGAAAAATGGGGATTGAGTAAAAACAAAGAGACGAATAAACAAATCAATCGAATATAATTTATAAAGTTAAATAAGAAAAAGCAAATTATATATTAACCAAAAAAAATAGAAGGAATTTTGAAGAAAGCTCTCTCAGTGTTCGAATGAGCTGTCTGAATTCTTATCTCTGCATGTGGTGACGGTGACAAGTTTTTGATATCGATTAAAATGACGAATTTACCCTTTTAGTTTTGATGGAATTTAAGTGGTTTTTTTTTTTTGATTTGTCTGTAATTACATTCATCTGTGATGTTTATTTGTCAATTTTATAAACTCACACTTTAGTGATTAAGTACTTAGTAGTATAATTGCGTACATTACACAACCTATTCGATTTAGTTTTGAAAGCTATAGAGTTTTGGTATTGATATTTAAGGGCATTAAGACCGAAATGGTCTTTTCATTTTTGAGAAAAGGAATCACTTTTATTATACCGAAGAGAT